TAGAGCCAAAGATGTTAGAATTGTGTCGATGTCCCAATATTTCTGGACCTGACTGTATATTCATCCCCATAATGTCTGTATCATTAAGAACATTGTACTGGTACACACTTTTGGCACTCATTCTTTTTTCATTAACATGTACATTAAAGTTTTGTGGCAGGAAAACTGGCAGTAAGTTTGGCTAACAAGCTCTGTTCTATTCTGTTCCAAACCAGTCAAGACTTTGAGCAGTAAATAACAAAGCAAGAATTAAAACTAAATTGGAACACTAACAAAACAGTAAAAATATAATAATATCCATGCATACACTATGCTGGTCTGTGACCGTAAAAAGATTTGATTGATTTGATCCATGCGTTCACAAGACAAACACCTACAGTCAGTTCAGGCCAAAGGCATGGTACTGTTTAATTGTCTTGTGAAATACAGGAGAAGGGGGTAAACATATCTCTAGGGGAAACGTGTTTCAAAGTTGGGGGCTAACACAGGGAAAGAAACACAGAGTTTTCACAGTCCTAACAAGAAACAAGAACTATTCCAAATAATCTTGGGGGTCTGTTAGTGCCCCAGCCTTTACTTAGAATAAAGGTAGAAAATCTGTTGCCCTATAAATATTGTTGGACTCCCATCATCCTTCACCACTGGATAAATTGACTACGGCAGATGGGAGTTAGAACTTCAGGTTCCCCATCCTAATTCTAAGTAAAGTTCGGATATGTATAGCGCTACATTAAATGTAATATCTCTTTTGCTTACTCATTTATTCTTTCTCCTCTCACCCTACCTTGATTTCCAGAACAGTTAGTGCTTGGAGCCTCCAAAGAACTGTCTCGGCGCTGGGATAAGGACTATGATTCCTTTGTGCTTCCTCTGCTGGATGAGCTGCAGCCGTGTTACATCCTTTACCGCCTGGACACCCAAAATGCACAGGGCTATGAGTGGCTTTTCATCTCCTGGTCACCTGACAACTCTCCTGTAAGCTTTCAGCTTATTCCCATTCGCAGAATACAGGGTGAAGAACACCCAGGTCCCTGCAGTTAGTTTAGATAGTAAACTGAAGGCTAAAAGGTAGGGAAAGTGCTCTTCGGAAGTACAGAGGTTGCTCTATTTTCCTTGGTTGGCGGTTGCGTACGCGTGACATCTGTTTAATCTATAGTGTATCCATTGCCACCCAGGTACGTTCCAGGTGTTATGGATTCCCATAGTCTCCGGTCAGCATAGAGTTTGCCCATGATAGCCAATGATGTACACAAAGTGTCTTGGTTCCGAAGCAGTTGTTGCAAATGCAGAACAGGCATTTCTCATTCAAGACAGGCTGCCTTAATCCTGATGGTAGTGTTTGGAGCTCAACAGATCATTTGGAACTCAGAACACTCCCCAAATGACTGAAGCAGCTTGTTTCTAATGTTTCCCTATTTCAGATTTGAAACAGGGCATTTTGAATTTGAAACAATTCAAATTTGAGATGTTTCGCACAATTGTACTAGCTGATTATGAGAATTAAAGTCCAACATGCCTAGAAGTCACTAAATTGGCAAAGACTGCTTTATTGTTTATTTGTTTATTAAATTTCAAGGCCACCCAACTCCTAATAATTGGGGTGGCTTCACAAAATTAAAAGAACAACAATTCCATAAAAACAATACCCATAAAACAATAACCATTCAAACCACCTTTCCAAATCCTCCTCTAGCTTAAAGGGGTTCATCCAATCATCTTAACTCAAGGCCTGGGAGAAGAGCCAGTTTTTAGAGAACAGTTGAAGACAAGCAAGTGAGGGCCATACAAATTTCTGGGAGATGCTCTTCCAAAAGGCAAGTCCACTGACAGAAAAGGTTCACTAGATGATGATATTGGTGGGACCTGAAGCAAGCCAACTCTACTGGAGAGCACAGAAAGGCAGATTCTGCAGGAGACAGGTGGTTCCTCAGATAGCTAGGCTCTATGCCATGTACGGCTTTATAGGTGAAAAACAGCAACTTGAATTGCATCTGGAAGGCACCTGATAACCACTGCAGCTTACATAGCAGGGGCTTATGTGCCCAATATTGCTCATGCTGCTACATTATGGACCAGCAATAGCTTCTGAGTGGTCTTCAAAGGCAGCTCCAGGTTTCACAAGTACTGCCTATGATATGATGGCATCAATCCAACACATTGTAATTATACTTCCTTTATGAGGAGTAATGAAGTTTGCCCAAGTTGGTTGCAGCATGTAATTAAGTTTATCTGGTCTCTGAATCAAGGAGAGTCAGGCCTCATTGGTATTTGGAGAAATATCACCAGGAAATCCCAGGGTTGCAAGTTAAACCGGGAAGAAAGAAATAGCAACTATTTCCATATTACAGTACTGCCAAGAAAACTACATGGACCTTCCATGAAGTCACCAAGAGTTGATTTGAAGGCTAACTTGCTTACTTAATGAAGTTCAGAGTGAAAGAAAAATACTTCCCATTAACATCTACTAATATTAAACTTTATTTTAATACCTTTAGAGATATAGATGGACAAATTGGAGCGCTACACATCTTGCCACAGATAGCAGTCATGTTTAGTTTTGTTATAATGAATTAAGCAATTTGTGATTATTTGAAAGCTAGCCCAGCTTTTGTCAGTCTGGGGGGAAGGACTGTATAAATTTCAGCTCTCAGAATTTTCAGCATCGCCATGCTGTCTGGGGAATTTTGGGAGTTGTTCAACACATCTAGAAGGTGCTTCTGGAGAAGACATAGCTAACAAATTCATTTTGATATAAATATTGGTAAAAAAGTGCCTGTAATTCCAAATATGAAAGGTCCTTTCTGATGGCTTTCAGAACCATAAATAATCCTACAACTCTTCTTTAGCTACTGCGATCTGGACTTCTGATTGTTAGCAGCCGTGAATGTCTTTCCATAGTCCATGTTCTCTTCTCTTTCTCTCTGTGCAATCAGGTTAGACTCAAGATGCTCTACGCAGCAACCCGAGCAACAGTAAAGAAAGAGTTTGGAGGAGGACACATTAAGGATGAACTCTTTGGGACAGTAAAGGTATGGCAACTTGTCATATCCACTGAGATCAGAACAACCAGAGTTGTAACGGTTGAGGTTTGTGTGTGATTGTTTGCAGTCCTGCTTCTAGAAGCCAGACTAGAATTTGTCAGCTGTACCCAGCTTGCTTTAAGACTGCAAGGATTCTGACTGCATAGAAGAGAAAACTGCAGTTGTGTCTTCTATTTTGCCATCTGAGGATACACAGAAGTCCTGTCTGATTCACCCTTTCAGTATATGCTCTGTTCAGACCCTGATAAAATGAGGTTGGAGCACAGGGACTTGACTATAGTACATGGCTTGAGATGTTGACATAGGTGAGAACGTGCACAGGGTGATCTCTTTGTGTCACGAGAGCAGAAGTGACCATTTGTATCCTGTGGAAGATGGCTTGTCTCTAGCTTGCTTTTCTTTTGTCCTTTCTTGGTAATTTTGTTTGTTTATAATATTCAGTTCAGAGGAGGTCTGGCCCCAAAGTCTTGGGACAGCTTTTCTAACTTTATTATTTGACTAAATTGGAAGACAACAATTTGGAATGTATGGATTGCAATTAAGCCCTTTCCTGCCCCAATCTCTTTTCCTCCAAATTCAAATACAGCAATAACATGATAAATAAAAAAGAAAAGAAAAGCTTCATAGTGTGGACTGGCATCTGTTTGGCTGTGAACTCTAGATTGCTGGTTGCCTAAATGCTTTGTATTCTGTCCAATATAAACTTTGGCTAGCTAAGCCCATTTTGCATACTGTCCAGAAGAAAACCCAGCAACAATGCTTATAGACCTGTGACTTTTGTTGAACATGCCAGAAGGGGGCAGCATTGCACATGAAATGGTAGATTATACTATGAATGAAATCTTCTGAACACCTCTCTGCAAACCTCTGTCAGTGAGGTCCTCAAGGGACTATCTCTGTACCACCATCTACTAGAGTTGTTTTGTTACTGCATATTTATTTAACTTAGTATGCCACTGGATGTCTCTTGGCGGCTTGCAGTACTGTAAAACAAATATAAAATCAAGGCATTAAAACCCATAAAAAAGAACTAAAATCAGTAAAATTAATAAAATGAACAATAATTAATAGTTAAAAGGATTTTTATAAAGATACATTTTGAGGGCCTTTTAAAATGCTAATAAAAGTGTTGGGCTACTCAACTCTGCAGAGAATGCATTTCAAAGATCCAGAGCAGTAGTAGAGAAGGTCCTTAAAATTCATCTTTAAAACATTTGAGTCGCCACCAGTCAAGTCCCTGGCCACTGTAGGTGAACCTCCTCAGGTGGTCTCAGGAAGCACAGAGGAGTATCCTGAAACAGATATTCTTTCAGATATCTGTTGCCATGGAGAGCTTTAAAGGCAATGGCCAGTGGTTTGTATTTAGTCCAGAAACAAGTTAGCAGCCAGTACAGGGCAATAAACACAATTGAAATATGGTCTCTTCACATTCTTTTCATAACCAACTTGGCTGCCAAGTTTTGTGCCAGCTGAAGCTTCCAGTCTGGGCAGAAACAGAAAAGGTCTAACCCTGAGTGGATGAAGGCAAGCTTGGGACAGCTGTAGGCAAACCACCTCAGACGACCTCAGTAAGTGGAGGTTCATATAGAAAGATCCGTTGAGAAACTGATCATGGCACGTAGACCGTTATATCATGCAACATTGTCAAAGTGGTGCCCATGGGCACCCTTGCCTACAATGACATTTCCTTCAGTGTTCCCCAGGCTCCCTACTTCCATCTGATTTTTTAAAAAATATTTTAATTTTAAAAAATAAATGGGAAGCTAGTGTGTTGCAGAGTGCCAACCTCAAGCATAATTTGTATTTCTGAGAAGACTTCAGGTCCTCATAGAGCTCCCAAATGCCTTCTTACAAAATAAAAATTATAGGACTACAGTTCAGTTTCTTTTTGGAGCTCTCCCCTGCACCCCCAAAAGAAAAAAGATGAGCTGAAATAATAGACAACTTTCTGAAAGGCTGGAGGGGTTTGTAAAGAACAACTTTGCCGGTTTGCGTTCCAGTAAATGGCACTTTTGTGGCTGACCAGGCCAATTAAGGCAGCCATTTTATGAATGGGCCCCATATTCTACTTGGAACCAATTTCATGCTTTTACTGCTGTTGCTTTTCTGTTGGACCACAGGAGGACCTCTCTCTTAGTGGATACCAGAAGCACGTGTCTTCTTCCTCTGCTCCAGCTCCTCTGACTGCAGCCGAACAAGAGCTTCAGCAGATCCGCATCAATGAGGTAGGAAGAAAGTTCACTGTGCTGCTTATCCAAATGATTACGCTGCAGTTCTTCCTGATTGCAATTTTCCCTTGGTGCTGTTAAGTGTAAAAGAGGTCATAGTGTCATTTAAAAATCATGCATGCCATTCAGGTGGAATTGGGAATAACGCTTCGCTTTTGGAGGCTGAAGAGCAGCCATACGAGTGTCCCCGTCTTCCGTTGGGTAACCAGTAGAACAGCTGTGCACTCCGGCTAGGAAAATGGGGAGTTCGTGGTGTTTGAAAGGGAGAGAAAAGCTGCTGAGGCAGAGGAATGTGCTGACTGATGGTTTCATACTACCTTGTCTCTTTTCTCATCACCTTTCCTTCTGTGTTCTGTTTATTCTTGAAGAAAATTGGTCTCTTCACTTTTCCACCATTGATCAGTTCAGAGCATAGTTGTATGGGGAAAATACCCAGGGTTGTGGCTGTCATTCCCAAGGTAGATAGTATCCTGTTGGCGATTTGCAATACTTGGGCGGCCCTATTTTTCTTAGTAATCCTGTTTTCATTGATTGATTGATTGATTTCAAGTATTTTGGTATCACCCATCTCAGACAACTCTTGGCAGTTAGCGATAGGCAAAGCCAATCTTCCCAGTTACAGATACCACTATCCGGAATCCTGGAGGAACTCGGGTTTCCTCCAAAAGTAATGGCTGGAGGAATAACATTTGATCTGCCTGCAATGAAGGAGTGACAATGTACATGTACTGATTTCCTGTTTTTACTCAGGCAGTATAATTTTTAAGCTACTGAACATTTAGCTTTTTATGTAGTTATTTATTTGTTAGATATATATCATATATTTCTTCCAAGAGCTCAAGTTAGCTTCTGTGGGGATCTGCCTTCATTTTATCCCTAGAATAGTAACCCAATGAGATAAAGTTGGGGTGAGAGAGTTTCTGTGGCTAGGGGGGAACTTAAACTGGCCTAGTCCAATATCCATGCCATTATGCCATGACTATCAATAGACACTTTTTCTTATAAACGTACTACTGTCCTTCCTCACCTGTGGGATAGCTGCCCATAAGTAGAGGAAAAAGAAGAATGGAAACATTTTCCCAATTGCATAAGGTGCATGGTGACATGATCCATAAATGTGACAAAATACCTTTTGGTGTGGACAGTAGACTGGCCTACATTTGTTCATGTTCTTCTGTTGTAATAGTTTTATTTTTAATTCTGTGTAAACTGCCTTGAGTCATTGAAGTAAGGCTATAGAAGTGGTGTTGTACATAAACAAGCAGACAGTTCCCAACCTTGTATCCCAAGACGATGTTAGGCTACAGTTCCCATCGTCTATAGTCATGGGAATATTGGTTGGGATGGAGGGGTGTTACACTTAAACAACATCCAGGTTCTAAGATTGAAACTACTACTGTAAAGAAGGAACTGTGTTACACTAAGTTATCCATTGGCTTGGTGTTTTGAGATTGTAATCCCACCCTAAGAATAGAGAGTTGAAATAATCCAGCTGTATGAAATCTGAATTAAAACATTCATGAAAAAGGATAGCACAGTATTATGGGTAGTCCTCATTTAATGACTACTCATTCAGTGACTGTTCGAAGTTATGATGGCACTGAGCAAATGGTACTTATGACTGGTTGTCGAAGTTCCAGCTGTCCCAGCACCTCTGCAATCACATGATCACTATCTGGGCAGTTGGCAACTGCTCACACAATGGTTGCAGTGTTCTGCAATCGTGGGATCACCATTTGCAACCTTCCTTGCTGGCTTCCCAAAAGCAAAGTCAATGGGGAAGCCAGCAGGGAAGGTTGCAAGTCGCTCTGGTAAGTCACTTGCACCCTCCCCTGCCCAGCAGCAGCCACTCCTCGCCCCACCGCACTCACATTGCACCTCGTGGGCTGCTCACACATCCCCCCCTGCCCAGCAGCAGCCACCCCTGGCCCCACCATGCCTCATGGGCCACTCGCGCACCCCCCCACCCAGCAGCAGCCACCCCTGCCCCTGCTGTGCTTGTGCTGCACCTCGCGCTGTGCCTCGCCTGCCAGCCTGCTTGCAAGCCACCTGGGACTCCCACAATCCTCGCTTAATAATGGCAACCAGGAGTTCCAGGATTGCTGTCGCTAAGCGACGTGGTCACGTGACATCGCGCTTTATGACTGCATTGCTTAGAGATGGAAATTCTGGTCCAATTACCGTCACTGACTGAGGACTACCTGTAGTTCATGTGGATATGAAGATACTGCAGATATGAGACATACCTAATACCACTTTTCCAGTATTGCACAATAACAGAGACCTCATATGGTGTTCTTTCCTGTCATTTCCCGTATTAGTCTTTGAAGTATTATGCTTTGTTTATTTGTTCCTCTAATGTAATTTGTACATTGAATTGAATAATGTTTAACCTGCCAGGTCTTGAGCTGTAGCACTTTCCTCTCCCTCCGGCATGTGATTATCAAGTCAGAAGATGATTTAGCAGCCAGGCTGAGATTGCTGCTTGGGTATTTCCATTTACGTTGGCCCAAGCCCTACAGAAGCAGGTGATGAAGAAGCACGAAAGCAAGCAGAAAGAAACTTCTCTCAGTTGCTTACACAGTGAATTTATAACTGTGGTAACAATTGACTGATTTTATGTATTAGCTTTACATCCCGCCTCTTCCCAGGATCCCTTGGTGGCATAGCCAGCATTCTTTCCTCCAGTATATGTGAACAGCCTTTCCAGGAGATGGTGATCACATTGCCCTAAAGTTACCAGAGCCAAGAAGAGCAGCCAGGAGACCCGAGATTGTGGCTGAGGGATATGGATAGATGTGGGAGAGGGTCCCCGCAGGCGTAAGAACCGTAGGATAAGCTTTTAAAACCACCATGCCTTGCTGTCTTTGAGAGAAAGGGAAAAGTGTGGAGATGGAAGAAGAGCTTGTTGGCTGAAGTAAAAAGATAGAGGGTGGCTGTTTAAAGACAGAGGGTGGAAGTGACTGAGATAGAATAGTAGTATAAGGAAAAGCTGGGAGGTTAGGCAAAAGCGCCTTTTTTTCAAGTCAAGAAAGAACATATTATTGGAATTACCCAAATCAAAATCTCTTCAATTAAGAAATACCAGGGAATGCAACGTGGTCTTGTCTTACCTGCGACAAGACTGAGAAGGAGTTAAAAGTTCTGGGGGTGCTACTTTGACTGGGGCTGGAGTAAGCCAGGGATGGATTTAAACATTACAGTTTCTGAATTCTCCAAATAATTCACTCATGCCTTGTCGTTGTGAGTTGCTTGCCAAACCCTGATCTTGGAATAGTCGCATGAATTCACACTGGAGATCAGGTGGGAGACTAGAGTTATTCATTAAGAAAGATACTAGCTTAGAGAGCAATGTTGCCTCCTTCTGGGGCGGGGGGGGGGCAAATCCGTTTTAGGCACTGAGCCTAAAAGCATATCTCTTTCACATGTTTTAGTAATCTGAATCTGTTGAACTACCCTGTACCAACTGTCAACCTAAATATTAATAGCAAGGGAGAACAAAGCATCTTTATAGAGAGATCAGCCTTCCATCAGACCTGCACACACAAGGTGCAGCCAAATAGCTTATTTGTGCCCCCATCTGAGTGTGCAGCGCTCCAGCCTTGCCGCTCCCTCTCATTCTGAGCTTTCTTTAAGTATGACAGGCCTGGAGCTTAGCTTCCCACTGCCTCTTCCACATGGCTGAGTGATTCTGACAGGCTGTGAAGAGAATCTCTTTTGTTTATGGCTCCATTTCTGGGTCATCCCGCCTGTAATCCAGTGTCACTGGTGGCAGACAAGATGTCAGTTTTATTTTGGACGATGCTCAGAGAATTGATTATCTCACATGAAGCCTGAATAGACAGCCCATATTTTTGCATTCCACCCTCCCTCCAGTTTGATGTATAGGAATTGCCCTCAGTTAGGTCAATATGGATTCACACACCACGCTAGTGATAATGTGGTTTCCTTAATTTGGGGCTAGCCTATGGACCCAGCCATGGGGGCTTGTAAACCATGGACTGTAGAAGTTGTATACTTATGGATGTGAAGAAGTCATATTTAAATCTAGTTTGGTGCAGCCAACTTCTGTTTCTTCTTCTTAGGGACACTACTCTGAAGTTATAACAAGTTGCTTAAGACAGGCACTGGTCCAGTTATCTTAGTGCTTCCTAGCAACTGTTCTCCAAGCTATTAGGAAAGGTCTTTTGCTGACCTCCAAGCCCAATCTGCCTAATCTCCTAGAGTTTGGCAAAGGAAGTCTTCACTTACTTCATTCCATTTTCTGAGCCAGCCCTACCATTAGCCATTTCCCACAGCACACCAGGATAGATGGTAAATTAGGATCATACCCAGAGCCACAGCTTCATTGTGCTTGTAACTCTAGATGAATCTCTCAAAGTGACACACCGTACAGTGGCTGTGGTGTTTGCTTGCCCAGGCAGCTACCTCACAATGCATTGCTCTGAGGATCCCCTTGCATTGTTGTTTATAGAGCAGCTGGTCAGCCAGCCAGAGGGTGATGGTGGTGCTTCCACTTCTGGAAAACGGGTACACAGGAGGGACTAGTGGGTCCATCTCAGCTGGCAGATCCTCGTGAAATTTTTCTGCTTCTCCTCCAGTATGGCAGAAAGCAAGGCTTCAAACTGACTTGAGACTACTCTGCTAGTAAACTCACCATCTGAAGCTTGTTTTAATTTTGGTTTGATTGAAACTATTTTTTGCTTGTGTCTTGTAGGATGAAACAGGCTGGGTGTTTCTGTTGCCCTGCTTTCTTTCACTTCCTGCTTTCCTGTTTCCTTTAATGAAGTACAGTAATTAAATTAGGTTATGCCTGTGGAATGTGTTGCCTTTACCACTGATTCAGTAGGGGCTAGCTTCATCAGTCTCTCAGACCTGCTTCTTTAGGGCCTTAGACAGAGAGATTATCTATCTATCTATCTATCTATCTATCTATCTATCTATCTATCTATCTATCTCACCAGAGTACCTCTAGGTATCTTTTATTTATACCTTTG